ATAGTGAAGTATAATTGTGTTTGACTTATAGTATTATTGATCGTTGGGTTATTGATTGATTGTTTCTGTTAAATAATAACTATCTAAAATATTTGACTATTTTAAACTATCAAAATGACAAGTAGCATAAATTCAAGTAAAACAGGGAGGAAAACTCCATCATCTGCGCCATCATCATTGGCATCATCAAGCCTGGCAAGTCAGCGCTCTATAGACACCATGTTGCAGAATGAAAAATTTAACGCCTTTCAGTCAGAGATGAAAAATATGATTCAAGCACTACAGGAATCACTACAAGGAGCCATGGCTAAGAATCATGAGGATATGGCAGATAGGATGCAAAAGATGGAACAAAACATTAAAGATAAAATAGACAACATCCAGCAAATAATTACTAAAAATGAACAACGGATCCAGAAAGTGGAAGAAAAGGCAGAGCAAACAGATAAGAAAGTAGAACAGATGGAGAATAGATTAATTAAGGTAGATAATGATCTTGAACGATCCATAATCATGTTGGAGATGGATAAGGCAAAATATTTCTTAAGATTCCAAAATGTTGAGGAGGAAAAGGGAGATCTTGTGGAGAAAATGACAGAATTATTGGCAGAGGCATTGGAAATAGATGAACAGGAAGCTTGCTATGGGATAGAAGAAATATTTAGAGTATATACAAGCTATGTGAGAAGAAACAAGCTTCCCAGAGAGGCACACGTGAGATTTTCAAAGAAGGCAACGAGAGCGGAGATACTCCAAAGAGCAAGAGATACACCATTGAAATACAAAAGAAGAGAAATAGTAGTCTTGAAGCAGATACCCAGAAGAGTAAGAGACACAAGAAAACAGTACCAATTTCTGACAAGACAATTGATATGAGGTAAAATTCAGACGGCTAATACTCGAGGGAATATTGGTGACTTGGAAGGAAAAAAGACACAGATTAGACACACTGGAGAGTGCACAACAATTCTATGATCAGTACTTCACAGCACATGAAGTAGAAGAGAAAAAGGAGAAGCAGAGATATTGGAAGTGACAACAGAAGGAAACACACAACAAGAAGGAATCAACACAGAGGAAAAAGAGAGAAGGGAAAGAGAAGGGGCAAGACCGGAAGAACAGAGAGAAATAAGATCAACTAGGGCAACAAAACCTATCTATAAGTAAACAATGGAAAAATAAACAAAATTGTTATCAATCAGTACAAATGGACTAAACTCACCAATGAAAAGAAAAAGAATTTTCAATAAATTAGAGAAATTAAAATTAAATTTAAACTGCCTTCAAGAAGTTCACATTAAAAAACAAGATAGTAAACTATTTGAGTACCCCAAAATAGAAAAACTATATTTTTCATTAGCACAGCAAAAGAAAAGAAGGGTAGCTCCAGTGATGGGATTCAAATAATTAACAACCGGTTCTCTGCCCTAATGATTTCTTCCAACAATCAGTTCACCAAACTGCTCAGAAAGTTAACAACCGGTTCTCCCAAAGTGGTGCAAACTGGCTGAATCCCACCACTGGGTAGTTCTATATAATAAAAAAACAATAAAGGTTAGACAAATTTTTGCAGATGAAGAGGGGAGAAAACTGATGGTGGAGATAATAATAAACCAAAAACAGATATTGCTGATAGGGATATATCCACCTAATAATAAACAAGATGAGTTTTATGGAAAACTACACAAGAAAATTATAGAACTGGAATATGAAAATATTTGTGTGATAGGAGACTTTAACACTTGTAGATACAGAATTTGACTATATGAGCAGTAAAATAGGTAAAAAAACTAGGAAAACACTTCCAAAAACTTTTTTTAAAACGATGGAAGAAATAGGAACGCAAGATGTATGGAGAGAGACTTATCCTAAGAAAAATCAATATTCATTCTATTCAAATAGGCATAAATCCTGGTCCAGAATAGATATGGTATGGATGACATCAGAATTGGAAGCATGTGTGCAAAAGACAGAAATAGAACCTAATCAGGGGTGGGTTCTACTTACCTTTACTATCGGTTCACAACAGGAGCGAGGAATTAAAAAAAAGAAAGGGGTCTTTGGACTACCAGACTGGGAATTGTACTAGCAGGCCTCGGTACTCACATGGATGAAAGAATGGATAAGTTTGAGACACGCAAGATTATTACTATTAGAAGGGCAGGACCTTCAACTAGGCTGGCACGCTTTCTTATGGTATGGAAAGAATAAGATACATAGTTACTTTCAGAAACATTATGTTAGGAACGCATTGTTATCAGTCTGGTTTAAGATAAAAGAGCAACACTATTTGAAAATACCAATCTGGCTTTACACTATGGAGGCATTGGTACATCCTAATGATATTAACATGGAAAAAAATCATAAGATACAAAGATATTTTGAATAACAAAGGGGAACTAAAAACTAAACAGGAATTTAGTAGCCAAGGGATAGACATTGCATGGTGGCCACATATGCAGATACAATCCTGCTACGAGAAAGATGCTAAAATGTATGGTTTTAAAAAAAAATTAACAGAATTAGACCAGATACTAACTGGAACAGATGACAAACTGATAAAGAAAGTATATTGTTACCTATTAAGTATTAAACTTGAAAGTGAGCAGGTAAAGGAGACAATGATTGCCTGGGCTAAAAACTTTGGATATGCAATAAAATTAGATAAATGGCAGAAACTATGGGATAGAAATATCAAACTGACTATGTCAACTGCATATAAGGAAAATTTGTATAAAATGTAGATGGCATTTTACACTGGCAAGATTAGCAAAAATGTATAAAGACAGATCTGTTGGAAGTGTAATCAATCGCCTGATTCATATTATCATATGTGGTGGACATGCCCAAAAGCTAAAAAATATTGGATGAAAATACATACTTGGTTGGAAAAAATGACAAAGCAACATATAGACTTGAAACCAGAGATATTTTTGTTGGGCATTCTACTGGAAAAATATGATAAAAAGATTATATATCTGGTCTTGCATATATTAACTGCAACTAAAATTGTATTTGCACAACAATGGAAAAATGATGAGATTCCGTCTGAGGGGAATGTAGTTAAGAAAATATTAGAATGTGCAGAAATGGATAGATTAACACTTACTATTAAGGATAAAGAAGAAACTGAATATTTTTTGATATGGGATATATTCTATCAATGGCTAGACAATAGAAACAGACATTAGAAAGAAGGAGATATAAAAAGAGGAAATGTTAATGTGAAAGTTGTTAAAAAAGTCAAGTATTATCGTTATTATACTATACTATTATACTATACTATTATAGTATAGTATACTAATATACTATAGTATATTATATAGTATAATAATATACTATCGTTATTATATTATTAATATTATGATGAATACTACAACAAATATGTGGATTATGTTTGTTTAAAAATAACTGTACCCAGATCACACACTGTTTGATAGAAATTGAATGCAATATAAATAAAACATTTTTAAAAATCCCTGACTATCTCTCCCCCCCCTCATCTTCCCCACTGTATCCCTGCTGGTCTTGGGCCTGCTCCCCATTCCAACAGGCCCCACACTCTCCTTTTCACTTAAATTTCAAGGATCTCTGAAACTTGGCTTAGCGATTCAGAACAAATCATTTTGTTATACAGCTATGCAGCACAATTCCAGAAACCGCTGCCTTTTTCCAAGTGGCTGCATTGAATTGTGGTCATTTGGAAAACCACTTCTGGAATAAAGCCACATGGCCTGCAACAAAGCAATCTGTTCTGTTTCCTCGAAGAAGACCGTGTAGTGCTGCAGAGATCTTTAAGTAGGTTACAGGGGGTGGAGAGGAGGCCCAAGCACTGTGGGGACCTGGCAAAAATGGGGGGGGGGGTTAAAGGCTTGGAACAGGGGGGGAAAGTCCTACAGGGATCTGGTGAAAAGAGATAAATTAGAAATGCAGGAATTGGGGGGGGATGGAGACGGGGACAGGATTCTGAAGGGTGGGATTGGAGCACAAGGTGTCTCACGGAATAAGGCAAGCTTTGCGAGGTCCGGGGTATGTGGGCCTATAATGGGCCACTTAGGGCTCCCTCCCCCACCTGCCTAATTGTTTAAAACATCAGGACAGCAAAGGATGGATAACCATTATGTTAAGTTGAATCTACCTGTATTTACAGGATTGAATCTGATACTTAAAAATAATTATCTACTTAATTTTAGCTAAAACATAGGTAAAATAAATTGCCCAACATTAGAAAACTCCAACTATTGTAACAAAGTGGATTACAAAATCTTTTCATTTGCTACATTAGAAAAAAATTACAGTTAAAATATTGAAGCAGGAAGGAAAATTCTACCAATTTGGATGGATTTTATAGTAATAAAGAACAATGTGATATTTCATACATATAGAGAATTTGTATGTGCAGAGTGCCTGTCACTACCAATTTTAGTCTGTATTTTTGCATCTTTTTTTATATTCATCTTGGACATTGGATATTCAGTTATTTGATAATTGTTAATCATAGTTCAATAAACCAATTTAAAAAATAATTATGGATTTCTTTTTTCTTTACACTACAGGCTCAAATATCTATTGTATCTGCAGATTTATAGTAAATCATATTCCCCTCTTATGTGCAAATTCATTTTTGGCAATATTTTATTTTGAAGTTATGAAATTATGCAATTGAAATGAATCAGAATATTTTAAAGAAAAATTGCCTGATAATGACATAGTGCCAATTCTTTTAGGCATCTACATAAATCAAGAAATATTATGCTGCTAATACACACTGAACACGAAGTGCTGACTATAATATATTCCGAAGGTAGAGCAACAATATAACTTAGTAACACACTAAAGGCTGTCTGTTACCTAACAAAAGATTCAACTCAAGAATCCAGATGCTTCTTTTAATATATATTGAAATAATCCCTAAAACTATTTTCTTCAGTTAATCAAAGTTTCATTAAGTGTTGGCGCAAAGTGAATTTTTGAGAACTATTTCATATAAGACTTCTCACCATTGGAAAAAGGCCTAATGAATGGTAACGGCGTGATATAGCATTTGGCATTGTCTTATTCCTAAGATTCTTCAATTCTTCTTGTGCTTCATGAAGCATTTCCATACATTCTGCATATTTATCTTCCAGCTCTCGCAACTGCAATAAAGAAAAAATAAAAATATTAACTTAAAAGTGTTTTTCTTCACTGTAGCCTTTATTTAAATGAAGAAAAATACTTTTTATAAAAGGAAAACATATTCTGAATAGATGAATTATGCAACTTATTGTAGACTTATATTTTGTTTAATATATAACTGGGATGATTGGGTATTAAAACTGTTGCTGAAATGATACAAACACAATTATCTCTTCCCCTTGGATTATAGATTGGGAGAAAGAAAACCCTGTATTATTGTGCTTTGAATTACAGCATTAATATCTAACAAACCTAATACCTATGAGGGTTGAAAGTAATGAAAAATACTCAAAAGTAATCACACCAGCTCCATAACTTTAGTTTAAGTATGGGTATTTTATTAAATAAAACAGGTACATAATATGTGAAATGAGTTATGTTATTTGTTATGTTACTTCTTCACATATTCAATACACATTACTGCCCAAAAGGGAAAAACCACTTAAATATGTCATGAAAGAACTCCACACTTTGTTTCTTCAACAAGTCTTCAAAGTCCTTTTCACTTCCTCATTTCAGTCAAATTGATGCCTACAAAAGTACTTATTTAATTTTGGGGAAAGGTGGAAGTCACATGGCACCAAGTCTGCACTGTGTGTTGATTAGATAAGATGACAGTATTAAACTTTGCAACTGCTTCTTGAATGATTCATGAGCGATGAAGCCTAATGCTACCATGTTATAGAGAAAAATGTGCTTCTAAGTTCTGCTTAATTATTATTTCTAAGTTTTGAGTGCTGTAATGTAGTACTCTGAGTTCTACAGGTTCAAGAAAATTCATGTGACTCGTGCCATTTGCATTCCAAAAAACTGTAATTAAAAGTTTTCCTGCCAAATCTTTGTCTTTATTTTTTTTATTTTGTAGTGAAGCTTCCTGTATTCCATGGATTGATGCTTCATATCTGGTTTTAATAACCAGACCATGTTTTTTTGGCTGTCACAAAGTTATGAAATTTCTCACCTTCCTTCTCTCAAAAGCATGACAATTGCTGACAAATTTCAATTATTGATACTTTTATCTTTGCTATCAGCATGCAAGGAATTCTTCTTGCACAAATCATCTGATACTGAAGAACATCAGTAATATGATTCACATTTTCTTGTGAAATGCCAAGCTTGACAATAATTTCCCTTTAAGTGCTTTGTTGATTTAATCTTTAATCAGTTCAACAAACTTCACCATGTTAAACGCATTGGTTACTATCACAGGTTGCCCACTTAATTCTTGATCAAACAAACCTCTTTGTAGCTCCCCATCTTTTATTTTTTTTGGCTATTAATGCATATTAATTCCTTAACCAGTCACCACCACAAATAATCTGTATTCAGTGTTGATATAGGAGATGATTAGGCTGAGCTCCAGGGAGGGGTCAAACATGTCATCAGTCTCAAGTCCTCTCATGCCCACAAGAGATCTAAGTCCAGCCCATCTTGAATACTGTTGATTCTTATCTGCCGCCAATTTGCTTTCACCATTAGTAGTTCACATTCTTGTAGAGAGCTTTAGCATATAATAAAACTACGGTATATATTCATTTGAACTGCCTGAACTCCTAATTTCATGTGCCTGACAGTTGAATTTCAATTGGAGGTATTTCAGTCAGGCAATCACAGCATGTTGCTTGAAGTGCCAAATAAGTATTCACTGCAGGCTTCCCTTTCAAACAGGATAACCACACAATCTTTCTCACAGCTACTTCTTACCAACTGAAGAACAGATGCTAAAAAGCACATCAAAACTTTTAGCATATCAGTATTTTAATCTACCAGCATCATTATTGATGAGTGTAATAATCCCCATTCAGACTTGATATCAAAGGATTTTATAAGGTGAAATATACACGCATATGCAGATACACACAAAAATACTGTATATAGGATATATATGCCTTTATATTACAACATTTATTCTTATCTATGGAGAATGGAGAGATGTAAGTTCTACACAGACAAAACATTTATCATACAGACTCTCCATTTTTTATTGCCTTATGAATTTATAAGGCTTTGCTAATAAATATTATTTGATTCTTACATACTGTATTCAGAAACATCGTAATTTATACAACACATGGTTTAGAAATCTTTAAGAAAAGCAATGTCGAAGAGTGAAGCACAAATACCTAATGTCAGGCGAAGAGCCTTCCCTATTTTAATTGTAACACAATCCTAGACATGCTGACTTTTTAAATAAATCTCGTTCTTTTTCAATATAGCTTACGTTTCTATGTATATATAAAATTATGTTTAATAATTTGATGTTTGAATATATTCATCTTAGAAACAACAGCGCTCAGTTGAACTAAAATAATTTTCAGATAATATACACACGTGAAAAATCCAATCTTTATCCTGATTAAATTTCATTTTTTTCAAAAATTTCTGAAGTACTTAATGTAGCAAAATTTTGTTTGTAGACTCTGAGAAGCATATCAAAAAACCGCACAGAATAAATATTCATTTTGGTTTTTTAGTAATTTTCATTTGAAAATTCTCTTTTCTACAGAAAGACTGGAACAGATTTTCTGTATATGGTTACAAGAACACAATAAATGAAAGGATTCTTATTCTCTCTATCCTCTACAATACATAATTATGTTTTTCATAATTATTACTTGTTCAGAAAGCAAATTCTTAGTGCTACTGCACTACTAAGTGCAATAGCTAAACAATGGGAGAAAAATAGATAGGCAGTATATACATCAAATCAATTAAATAAAGTAGTTAGTTCCCAAGACAATTATTCATTCCTTGAAAACTATTATTCATTTCAAAAGCATTGGCTTTTTGTATTGGCAAAAAGAACATTTGGCAAGAAGCTGGTGGTGTGGTCTTTTCTTCCCCTTTCTACATACATACAAGACATACAAAGCACAGAATAGTTATTTAGCTAGTTGGGGCAAATTGTGTATTCCTCCATACTGAGTGAGCTTTAAAGCTGCATCATTGTTATGATGTCCAGCTGTTATTGTTTATATTCTTGTTTCTTAAAAAAATATCAAAAGTGGCAAAAGATGTTTTGAATCTCAGAATAGCCCCAAGGTCCTGGGAGAATGTTGTGCAGATGGAGCTATAAAGAGTCTGTCCATTGTCCCTCTTGGATTTCTAACATGCTGAAGGAATGTTGATTGCCATGTCTTTTTCTGCCAAATAAAATAATATTTCTGCATATATCAAAAGTCAGGGAGAGAAAGAAAAAAAATATAAAGAAAGGGATAAGGGTAAAACAAATATAGTATGGCATACTCACAGTAAAGGTTTTTAACCCTATGTGGAATCAAGAAAATCTGAATGCAAAAATATATAAATATTAATTTTTAATAAAAAAATTTCTTCTGATAATAAAATGTAACTGGGCAAAAGCCAGTTTCCTGTTTTTAAATCCTGATTATTACTCACTTCGGCTGTGAGTTGCCTTTGGGCATCTTTAGCTGCTCCCAAATGTTGGACAAGTTCTTCATTTTCCACTGTACACTGAAAAAGGATCAACAGCAAAAGCATTACAACACAGTCATCATTCCATGATTTCTCTATTTCAAGATTTAAAGGACTTTATACAAAAGTAAGGGATAAAAAAGATTGCATCATATTGTGGCAAATATCATCAACTTACAGCTTTTGCCTTTTTCTGCAAATCCACTATCTGAGAGAGAAGATGGGTGATTTCTTCCTGTTGTCGGGAAGCATCTTCAGTCTTCTTAGCTAACTCTTCTGAAATACTGGCAATCTGAAGATTTGCATCTCCTTAAAGAAATCACAAAATCACTATTAACTACATGGAACCGGTCATGGGTAAAAATACTGATAAAGTAAACATTACTGCAACTTAGCCATACAAATAAAATGAGAGACAATTACTAACCAGCCAAAGGTTGGGAAATAAGAATCAGATTTTCAGGAAGCTTTGTCCTTCCTGAAACAGTCCAATCAATTTTTGTGCTGGGAACTTTGTGTAGCCTGCTTAAATTTTAGCCCTAGTTTCTCAGTCAGCCTGTTCATTTGCCTTCAAAAGATTGTGGGTACTCAGCTGAATGTATTTTCTGAGTGTAATTTAGTGTAAAATCAGTAATTATGTTCAAATATAAGGCTGCTACTTATTAGAATCTTTTTCTACAATAGAGTAATTGAATGGGATAATATGCCATCACTCTTTCATGAAGACAATAAAATTAAAGATTGAGCAGAATTTTACTTTTTATGATATTTCAAATAAAATTCCACTGATTTTTTAAAAACTGAAGTAAATAAGAATTAATTTAAAGGAATCCTAATCCCAGACTACTTCAAATATACTCAGAGTACAAAAACAATACCAAAAAAAAGGTCAATCTTGGTTATTATAGTATGTTAAGAAAATAAAACACAACAATTGGAAAATATTTTATACAATCCCTAATTTCATACCTAAATTAAAATATGCAATTCTGGATTCAGCAGAAAATAGACATATTTTATGAATTGAACTAATAAATGAATGAGTAACTTTCTGTGGATCCAGCCCAGGGGTGAAATGCTCCCGGTTCGGACCGGATCGCCTGATCCGGTAGCGATGATGAACGGTGGTTCGGAGAACCGGTAGCAAAAATCCCTGCCCCCCCCACATGCCCAGCTGAGCCGCGCGATCATCAGAGGCTTTTTTAAAAAAAATTTAAAAGCATTTTTTCTACAACCTCTTCGGCTGAAAAAAATGCTTTTAAAAGTAAAAATAAAGCCTCTGATGATTGGGCGGCTCAGCTGGGATCGTCAGAGGCTTTTAAAAGCATTTTTTCTACAACTTCAAGAAGTTGTACAAAAAGTGCTTTTAAAAGCCTCTGACGATCCCAGCTGAGTTGTCTGATCAGCAGAGGCTTTTTTCTCTTTTAAAAGCCTCTGACGATCCCAGCTGAGTTGCCTGATCGGAAAGCCTCTGCCAATCAGGCAAGTCAGCTGGGATCGTCAGAGGCTTTTAAAAGAAAAAAAGCCTCTGCTGATCAGGCAAGTCAGCTGGGATCGTTAGAGGCTTTTAAAAGCATTTTTTACAACCTCTTCAGCTGAAGAGGTTGTAGAAAAAATGGTTTTAAAAGTTTAAAAAAAAAAAAGTTGGCCACGCCCATCCACATTACCTCCCCACCAAGCCATCTATCTATCCATTTCTCTCCTTCTTTACAGATAAATTGCAGGCGATATACACTAGGTTAATCACATCACGTTTTAAAGAAACATAACTAAATGGCACAGAATCCACTTCCTCAGGCAAAACCCCATTATCCATTCTGCCAGAAAGCAAAGAAGAAAACATACTGAGCTCCTTTACACAATCATTTACAAGTTGCTGTTCTTTCTCTTCATAAGTAATGGTTTCAGTCTTCAGTTGGCAGGCCTGTTTACAATATCAAGAAATGAAAAACTCAGTTAACATCTTGCTACTGTAGCACTGCTATTTGATTTTTTTTTAAATACCATATTTTTCAGAGTATAAGACGCACCTTTCCCCCCCTAAAAGGGGGTGAAAATTTAGGTGCATCTTATACATCGAATGTAGCGATGCCCACCAACTGGCCCCCATCCTTTGGCCTCTCCTTGCAGCAGTTAACCTCCTTGCAAGCAAACAGCAAGAAAAAACAGCTCCTTTCAGCTTTTGCACAGCCTAAATAGCACAAGTTGATTGGCTCGGCCTCCCAACTCTCAGCAGATTTGGTCTCAGCTGTTTTGCACAGGGCTCTGCTCCTTGCTACAAAGAGGTAAATTGCTGGAGCACATTTTTTTCCTTGTGCTAATCAAGCTATGCTGAAAACGAAAATGAAAGTAAAGCAGGCTGTTTGCTGCAAATGCAAAATTGCTCAGAGGCAGAGGGAGTTTTCTTTTTCTTCTTTTCCTCACCCAAAAAGGTAGGTGTGTCTTATACTCCGGTGCATCTTATACTCTGAAAAATAGGGTAAGTTTTTCATAACAGTACACAGTATTGAAGGACAGCCAAAACTTTAAACTTTCCCCTTTTCCTCTGCAACTATAGTGAATTAGTTTAAAATAAATTTTTATTGAGTACAAATATTAAAAAAGACATAACATAACATATACACAACAAACATTTATACAACATATACACAAAAAGATTATGATTTCTTCTTAAGCATTTTTTCAAAGTGATATTTTGAAACTATAGTGAATTAATAACAGACTGCCACTAATGTTGAAAAGAGAAAAAGAGAGAAATATATAAAAATAATTTCAAGACATCAGGGATAATTGAAATATAAAAATGTACAGGTAGTCCTCAACTTACAATCACTATTGAACCCAATATTTCTGTTTTAAAGTGAAACATTTGTTAAGTGAGTTTTCCCTTACTATAATTTCTCTTACCACACTTGATAAGCCAATTACCACAGTTGTTAAGTTAGTAACACTGTTAAGTGAATCCGACTTCTGCCTTGACCTTGTCAGAAAATTGCAAAAGGGGATCATGCGACTCCAGGACCCTGCAACTATCATAATTATGAATCAGTTGCCACGTGTCCAAATTTTGATCACGTGAACCTGGGGCTGCTGCAACGGTTTTAACTGAACAATGGTCATAAGTCCCTTTGTTCAATGTCATTGTAACTTCAAACAGTCACTAAATGATTTAATTCTATAAAGTGAATTATACAATTTTGCAAAGTGATCATGACATGATCATTCTAGACTTCATGATGACTAAACCATTTTAAAGCTTACCATAAGAACAAAACATGTTCCCTACAATATAGCAATACAATAGTAATAATTGAATGTACTACTCAATATCAATCAATGCAATGATATAAGTAGTCCTTGACTTATGATCATTTGTTCAGTAACGGTTTGAAATTACTAACATGCTGAACGAAGTGACTTGCAATTTGTGCCCAAAGTTACAGCCATTGCAGGGCCCCTGCGGTCTCATGATGAAAATTCAGGTGCTTGGAAGTCTGCCTGCACTCAAGACTACAGAGGCAACTTCAATGCCTCCACCCACCTATCTCTCACACCATTTCAGCCCGCATCCAGCCCAACAGTGTGCCCAAAGCTGTAGGAGGCCTGGAAGTCACAGCATGTTCCCCATCCCATCATGCCCAAGAGGCCCAAACCTATTTAGGGCAGGTGTGACAAATTTGTGGCTTATAGGATGCATGTGACTTTAGGCAGCTAGTAATGCAGCCCCACAAGATCATAAATATTAAAACATTTTAATATTATTAAGTATTTTATATGTAGTTCAAGACAATTCCTTTTCACTCAGTGCAGCCCAGGCAAGTCATTACTATTCTCCTAACTCTTACAACAAGAAGATTCTTGGCGATGTATATTCTTTGTCTTCCCTGCCAATAAATATCTATTCTTAATATCTAGATAGCTAGGAGACAGATTTTTTTTCAGATTTATCCTTCTACTCATACTTTCCAAATCTCTTTCTCTTCAGTATTTTTTCTTCCAGAATTTCAGGTGTGAGTATATACTCTTTTATGCAGCACATATTTGGACCATTCTAAACCTGGGGAAAAACTCATTTTATTATAAATAATACACATCACTCAGTAGTCTGTTATTCAATAACATTTTGATTGCCCTAACTATAACTGTTGCATTTGGAAATATAAATAGAAAACAATGTGTACATAAGGGTGTTGACCCTTATGTAAGGGTTATCAAAGAATCAGTTATGGGCTACAAGAATTATGATTTATGTCTTTTTGTCAAGCTGCTAATTTATAAAGAGAAAATGGAAAACAAATTTATAATTGCTAAAAAGCAATGAAGCTTACCTCTGATCTAAGGACAACATTCTCCTCTTCGAGATCCTTCAGCTTCTTTTGAAGAGAATCAAAATGAAAATAATTCTGGACAGATGAAGATGATTCATTCCTCTTCAATCTAGTAAAATATATATTTTAAAGCATTTATGGATAGTTCCTTTTATTTATAATCCCTGTAGAGAGTTGCAAAATAACATTTCAACAATAATACTGCTTAAAATACAAGTTTCATAGAATTTTGGTAGATTAACTCAATTTAGTATCATTTCCTTTTTTCTACACACTTTTAATGTGGAAATTTAAGTTACGAAGTAGCAAAAATGGATTATCTGGATCCGTTCCAGTCGGGTTTCAGGCCTGGGTATAGCACGGAAACGGCATTGGTCGCATTGGTCGATGATCTCTGGAGGGCTCAGGACAGGGGTTATTCCTCTGTCCTGCTCCTGTTAGATCTCTCAGTGGCTTTTGATACCATCGACCATGGTATCATGCTGCACCGGCTGGAGGGGTTAGGAGTGGGGGGGCATCGTTATACGGTGGTTCGCCTCCTTCCTCTCCAGCCGTACGCAATCTGTGCTGACAGGGGGGCAGAGGTCGACCCCGAGGCCCCTTGTATGTGGGGTGCCACAGGGGTCAGTTCTCTCATCCCTTCTGTTCAACATTTATGTGAAGCCGCTGGGTGAGATTATCCGTGGCTTCGGGGTGGATTTCCATCAGTATGCTGATGATACTCAGCTATACATTTCCACCCCAGGCCACCCCAATGATGCCCTTGAAGTGATGTCCCGGTGTCTGGAAGCCATATGGATCTGGATGGGGAGGAACAAGCTCAGACTTAACCCTTTCAAAACCGAGTGGCTGTGGTTTCCGGCGTTCCATCATAGTCAGTTGACTCCATCACTGACTATTGGGGGTGAGAGCTTGACCCCTTCAGAGAGGGTTCGCAACTTGGGTGTCCTTCTGGACTCACAGCTGTCCTTAGAAGACCATCTGACAGCTGTGGCCAGGGGTCTTTTTATCAGGTTTGCCTGATTTACCAGTTGCGTCCCTTTCTGGATCGGGACTCCTTACGCACAGTCACTCACGCCCTCGTCACTTCCCGTCTGTACTATTGTAATGCTCTCTACATGGGGTTCCCCTTAAAGAGCACCCGGAGGCTCCAATTGTCCAGAATGCGACCGTGCAGGTAATTATGGGAGCGACCCGACACTCCCATGTAACACCGCTCCTGCGCGAGCTGCACTGGCTCCCGGTGGTCTTCCGGGTGCGATTCAAGATGTTGGTTGCCACCTTTAAAGCGCTCCATGGCATGGGCCCTGGGTATCTACGAGACCGCCTTCTGTCACCGATAGCCTCCCATCGACCGGTACGCTCCCACAGAGAGGGGCTCCTCCGGGTGCCGTCAGCTAGACAATGCCGGCTGACGACCCCCAGGGGAAGAGCATTCTCTGTGGGGCCCCCTACCCTCTGGAATGAGCTGCCCCCAGAGATTTGTTGGATTACTGACCTGCGTACCTTTCGCAGTGCCCTAAAAACATTACTATTCCAACAAGAAGGGCTGGCCTAAATAATAATAATATTTTTACTATTTTAATGGTTTGTTTTATTAGAATTTTCAGCCAATTGATTTAATTGTTTTAACTTGTTTTTAATTTTTCTACTGTCATGGTTTTATTTCTGGCTGTACACCACCCTGAGTCCTTCGAGAGAAGGGTGGTATAGAAATTTAATAAAATAAAAAAAATCAATAAAAAAAATCAATTTCTGCTCAGTACATGAAATTATAAAAAAGTACTGTAATAAAATCTTTAAAAATAATCTTCATATTGTAAGGCATATATAAAGTAATTAAGGAGACAGTACAAATATATATAAGAACAAATATTTCAAACTGTTTTGGGCAAAGAATCTTCTGAAGCATCCCATACTAAATATAAAGTAGTTTCAAACATTTTAAAAATATTTTGAGCTTTATATGAAATTTCACACTTTGAAACAGTTTTACACAGCCTAAGTAACATTTCTGTTTTTCATTCTAGACTTACGGAGTTGAACAGATGGAATCTGGCTCACTCTCTTCAGCAGCGCTGGTATAAAACTGAAGAAGCTCATCTTTCATTGACAGCTCATGACGCAGTTGAGAAACCTGAACAAGTTAAAGGGGAAAATACCTGTCATATAAGTGATAACATTTTAAGTAGAAACAGAAAATTGTTCCACACCAGGAAAAAAGTTTAGATCTTAAATTCTAAGACCATATTCAGAGTGCTGCCACAACTTTTCATTCAAAACAGTAAATTCATGACTGTGTTTTATCTATGGGCAATCCTCGAGTTACGATTGTAATGGAGCCTTCCTCTCACTAACTCAATTTTACAAGTTTTAGTAGTTGTCATTCAGCGAATGTAGCAGTAGTAAATGCGAACCTATCATTTGCTATATGTGTGGTTTTGCTGAGTTGTAAAGTTCCAGTTTTCAACCATTGTAAAATGTGGGACATTCAAATGGTCATAAATGTAGCTGTATTGCCAAGCACCTGAAATGCTGTCATGGGAATGCGGAGAAAACTTTGGATCAAGGCCATAAGTCCCCTTTCTCAAGTAGGCCATAAATTCAAATAGTTGCTCAGTGATTGGTCAATCAAGGACTACCTGTATAGCTGTAGCTATTTAGATTATATATACCAATGGAAACTTTCCATAATTTGGTGACAAATCACAATATAAGACTTTATACTGCTACCGTGCAATGTTGGAACCTATATCTATGTACAAAGCACCAACAGTTTTATTTTAATTGTTTAATTGATAAAATTTTATTGGCTTACCTCAAAATAACTCTAATCATCAAATCTATTCCTCTCTTCAAACTAGATTAGGTAAACAAAGTATGATACTTGCCCAGTAACATTAATAGAATAGATTTCAAAAATTTCTGTAAATGCCAAATCACCTCACATCTTTAAAAAGATTTCTTTAATGTTTACTTTACCACAGGAACAGAAAACCTGTAACTCTACTGTTACCCTGCCTCAAATCATAGCATCTTTTACTAGACCATTTTACTATAAATAGTAACATCTGGAGGGCCATTTATCCACCATCTTAGCTTTTGCAAAGGACAGGCAAGATATCACCATAATGGAGTCCGCCCATTATGGTTGTATGTTACAACAGCTGCTAAATGAAATGGCCTCACTTAACCACCCCATCCACTGCTCTCCCTGATGCAGCCATTAATGAACACACACATCATTAAGCAAAGCACAGGGTGCTTCACAAGTGGAGGAGGCCTAGTGCTAGCCATACCCACCTGACCCGGGCCTTCCCAACTCCTACTTTAGGTTTTAGGTTTAGGTTTTATTTGATTATATACCGCCCTACTCCCGAAGGACTCGGGGCAGTGAACAGCCACAAGATAAAACACATAAATACAAAATTTAAAAGCAAAATAAAACCGAATTAAACAATTTGGCCCAAGACAGATTTAAAACATCCCAATAATTAAGAATAGATTAAAATTTACATTTTAAAAGGGAAAAAAGGGAAAATTAGGCCAGGCCAGCCTGATGGAATAAAAAGGTCTTGAAAGCGCAGCAGAAGGTGCGCAGATCCGGGATCCTCCGTATCTCCGGGGGGAGCTCATTCCAGATGGTAGGTGCCCCCACAGAGAAGGCTCTCCCCCTGGGGGCCGCCAGTCGACATTGTTTGGCCGACGGCACCCGGAGGAGCCCCTTTCTATGAGAGCGTACCGGCTGGTGGGAGGCTACTGGTGGCAGCAGGTGGTCCCGTAGATAACCAGGTCCTGAGCTATGGAGCGCTCTAAAGGTGGTAACCAAAACCTTGAAGCGCACACGGAAGACCACCGGGAGCCAGTGCAGCTCGCGCAGGAGAGGTGTTACATGGGAACGCCATGTCGCTCCCATAACCACCTGCGCGGCCGCATTCTGCGCCAGTTGGAGTCTCCGGGTGCTCCTCAAGGGGAGCCCCATGTAGAGAGCGTTACAGTAGTCCAGGTGGGAAGTGACGAGGGCGTGAGTGACCCTGCGTAAGGAGTCCTGATCCAGAAAGGGACGCAACTGGTGAATCAGGCAAACCTGATGAAAAATCCTCCCAGTCACGGCTGTCAAGTGCTCTTCTAAAGACAGCTGTGAATCCAGGAGGACGCCCAAGTTGCGAGCCCTCTCCGTGGGGGCCAGCGATTTGCCCCCAATAGTCAGTGACTATTTCCACGACTTGTGTCCCCAGAGGTCTTTTCCCTCCCCCAACTGCTCCCTGCTGGACTTTCCCCCTCACACCAGGTTCTTGCAAGCATTTCCATCTCTCAACAGCTCCCCGCTGGTCTTATGCCTGAGTCCCACCCCATCTGGTACTACAAACTCCTCCTCATTTACCTTTGAAGAGGTCCAAAGCCTTCCATAGCATGGGAATGTGTTGCTTTGTCACAGGGGTGAAATTCACAGGGGCGAGCCAATAGCAGTGGCTGCGGGAGGCTCTGCCCACCCATGCGGATGTCATGATGTCACTTTTTTGCAACAATTTTAAGTCTCTGCGCATGCACAGAAGGCTTTACGCATGCATGGACGACAGTGTGCACACATTTGCGAACCGGTAGGGAAGGTAAGTGAATTTCACCCCTGCTTTGTTATTTGGCAGCATGGCACGATTCTGGAATTGGCCATGCAGCTGAAGGAATAACCATTTGATTAACAGCCTTAATGCAGTCCACTTGTGGGTGGTCCAAAATGCCAGCCACTTCCACAAGGCTGCCACACAAATAAGGGAGAAAGTACTGTTTTGCTTCCCTAACGTGGTCTCCATAACTTTCTGAAGGCCTAGAACTATCTGCAGCACTATAGAGACTGTGCTATGCTCTACTTTTTAAAAAAATGTTTTCATTTTAATCACGAATTTCACAAAGCCCTAGTACTTGAACTGACATCACTGAAATATTAAAAGAATGTCTGTTTTATAGCATTAAGTGTATACAAGGAGTTGCTAGAGAAATTTATTTATTAAATTTATATGCTGCCCATCTCATCATTGGAGCAACTTTGGGCAACTTACAAGATGATGAAAGTTAAAGTATTTGTATACAGATAGTTCTTAACTTATGACTTAATGACCGGTCAAAGTATGACAGATATCTCCAAAGCTACTTAAAACCCTTTATCGAAGTTAGATGGCCACACGATCACATTTTGGGTACTTGGCTTCTGGCTCATCTTTGTGGCCATTGCAGTATTCTGCAGTGACATGATTGTAATATGCAATGCTTTTTGCCAGTTTCTAATATTTACTTCCAGCTTCTGGCAAAAAAACACCCTTGGGGAAAATGGATTTCTGCAACATTTGCAGTCTGAATATATTATATCTGAAGTATACGATAGTAAAATATAGCCTGGTACATATATTCTTTTTTTTACCCTTAGAATATATGTTTCTATTTACATCCCTGATTAAACATGATAGCCATTTGGGCAATTTTGGGTGAGCCACAATCTCTCAACCCAACTCACCTCACAGGTTTGTTGTTGTGGGTAAAATAAGAAGAGGAAGGAGTATTAGGTATGTTTGTTGTCTTGAAGTATTTATAAAAACAATAAAGTGGGAAATAAGTAAGTAAGTAAGTAAGTAAAGTTGGAAAGTCAAACAGCTCATGGATCCATTGTTACTATCTGCTTAAATCTGAATCCTTTAAATCTGTTATGAAACAGGCAAGGAAAATATATATCAGCAAATAAAGCCAAATAGGTTTCATTTGAAGCAGGAACAAGCAAATATTCTGTGTATAGGCATATGTGACTATTCTTACCTCTTCCCTGATATGTTCTACTTGTTCTTCAAGAAGTTCATTTCTCTCAGTAAGAGTTTTATTCTTCTTTAGCAATGACTGGCCAATTCGAGCAGCTAATTCTAAATCCCGTTCTTTCTGTGGGTGGGTGGGTGGGTGGATGGGAGGGAGGGAGGGAGGGAGGGAGGAAGGGAAGGAAGGAAGGAAGGAAGGAAGGAAGGAAGGAAGGAAGGAAGGAAGGAAGGAAGGAAGTCTGAATTAAGGCTCACATATGAAATAACCATCATTGGAAAGTGCAAGAAAGTTGAATTTGTGTTCAGGAGAAAAACTAGAAAATCAGTTTTGCTTTTTCTATTTTTGAAATAAGCCTGTAATTTCTCTTTCTTTAATTTTGTGTTCTGCTGGAAACACCCACTTAATTTGAGGAATATAATTTATACAATAAACATAACTGAATGCTCTAAGCTCATGCATGGTGAGGAATAAAAACCCTTTCAATAGCTTTTATTTCTAAAGCCAAGAGTTGCAAAATTATATTTGGTATATAATTTGTAAAGTGTAGAGATGCTTAAGTTTGTGAATCCTTTTGAATGTTCCGTATTTCTGAACAAATATGCTCTAAACCATGATCTGTTTTATATACACTTCCAAAATTACATAAAGAGAACTCAATTACACAAATGACTCAAAAATATTATATCTGTTCGTTTATTTATTGAGAAAAATTATCCAAACTAGAGATTTCTGTGTGGCAAATGGATGTAGAATATAAACAGGTTCACAAATTCTTAAATACCATTATATTTATAGAGGATTTAATAAAATTGATAATTTTATGGCCTCTTACCAAAAAATAAAACTTAGCTTTTAGATATTTTTTAGTTACTGTTCAAAGTGTAAAACCTACACTTTGTATTCAATACCTACCTATAATAACAGGCAAAGTAATATCTCAACACTGAAAATGAATTAAGGTTAAACAACAGAAATTCTTATAATCCTGTAAGACTTTTTGTTTGTAGTGCAGGTGGTGCAATGGCTATGTTCAAGCAACAGTAAAAGCCATATGCCACAATATGTCTTACATCAAGAGTTACAAGGAAAGTTAGTGAATTGGAGGAACTGTGGAAGAATATCAAATGTTTCAGTAGCTTTAGAGGATCAATGCTTCTGGGGTAAATGGTAAATATTTGCCATTTATGAAGTTGTCTGTTTTATATTTACAGCAAACTGCATTACATATGAGAGACTAAGTCCACCTTAGCCATAAAAGCCAGCTGGGAGACCTTGGACTTTCTTTCTCAGCCCAAGTCACTTCACAGGGATTTGTTTGGGGAAGAAAGTATATTGGATATTGTCAGGCCTGCCTCCGTTCAACCCCCCCCCCCAAAACAAACCCTCTGACTCCACTGAAGTAGAGAAGAGGTACTTTTACTGAGTTTGAAATGATAGCGGTGAAAAGAAAGCAAGATCTGAGCAAAAAGGGGAGAAAATTACATACTGAAAATTTCCCCCAATCTCTCCCTCCAGGGACCCAGGCTAAATATGCAATCCATGTCCTCTGTCATGTGGAGCGCATCTTCAGGTGCTTTTGTCCATTTGGAGTTCTAGGATGGTTGGCTTTGTATGGGTGTAAACAACTCCATTCAGCAGCACAGTAATTCTTGAGAGCAAACCTCCTTTTTAGTTCACATAGGCCTTCATCACACCAGCTTACTTCCCAAACCCCAATGCCATGCCCCCCTCCCGTTACTATGGCAGCCGATAGCAAGCATGCATCAAAGGAAAGACCCATGCTGGAGATCCGGCTGACATTCAGCCCTCCTCCAGTAGAAGCGTTAGCCCTAAGGAAAAATCATAAGACAAAATAGACAGGATAGAAGAAATCTACTATACAGGGGAGTAAAATAACATTAAGGCTTGTCAGGATATTTAGTGTGAAACAGTTGAAGGAGTTTAGGGGCCCAGACATCCCCAGCGTTCACCCATTCAGACTGTGAGGGAAGGAAATGTTTCCAGGCCACCAAATACTGTACTTTTCCCCTATGTTTCCTGGATTCCAGGATTTTCTTTCACTTCAAAGTGTTGTTTCCCTTCAATGAGGAAGGGAATTGGAGGGGCAGGTTGGGCTAGTCGAAGAGGAGATACATACTCAGGCTTTAACAAGCTAACGTGAAACACAGGGTGAATCCACCTAAGGGTTTTGGGTAGCTCTAACTATACTGTGATCGGATTGATGATTCTAACAATGAGGAAAGGGCCTACATATCTGGGCCCCAGTTTCTTTGATTTCTGGGTGGTCTGCAAGTACTTTGTAGCTAAGAAGACCCTGTCTCCTACTTGAAACTCTTTTGGGTTAGCTCTTTTCTTGTCAGCTTGTCTTTTATGGGCTTGATGTGCCTCTTCTAGTGCCTTACGGATGACGGGCCAAATACACTGAAGCTGTTCAATCCATTCCACTAAGGAAGGGATCTGGGGCAGTTCTGGAATAGGTACAAAATCCTGACCAGAAGCAACTTTAAATGGGGTGAAGCCAGTGCTACTATGGATCGAGTTATTGTAAGCGATTTCTGTAAATGGCAGCAAGTCGGCCCAATTGTCCTGCTGCTAGTTTACATAGTACCTAAGGTACTATTCCAGACCCTAGTTCTCACGTTCACAGGGCCTCTTAGTTTAAGGATGGTGGGCAGAGCTTAGACCCTGGGCAGAGCCTAACAACTTTAGGAACTCCCTCCAGAAGTGGAAGGTGAATTGTACCCCCCCCCCTCTATCCGAAATGATGCGGTCAGGAACCCCGTATAACCTCTACACATGTTGGATAAATAGTTTGCCGAGTGTTTTTCCAGATGGGATCTTGGAGTAGGGTACAAAGTGCACCTGCATGGAAAATAAGTCTGTGATCACCCAAATGACTGTGTTCCCCCCCCCACTCTCAGGTAGTTCAACAATGAAGGCCATAGATATTTCCTTCCATGGGGCACTGGGACTGGCAATACTGGAGGAATCCAGCAGGCTTCCCTGGAGGCCTCTTAGCAGAAGCACACATAGGACAGCTGGCCATGTGGGTTTCTATGTCCTTTTTCAATGAGAACCACCAGAACTGCCATTTGACCAGGTGTAACGTTTTCACGAAGCCAAAGTGTCCAGCTTTTGAATCATGGATCCATTGCAACACAGTTCCCCTAAGACTGGTGGGAACATATAGTTTAGTGCCAATCCATGCTAGGCCACCTTGTATGTAGGACTCATTTGAGTGGGACAGGAACCAGTCATCACTTTTCAGCGCTCCTTTCAGCTCCTTGCTTAAATCACTGGGAAGGTTAAGGTCTGCTTTCTCCTGGGCTCAGGTGACCACCGGGGCAGCCAGTTGCATGGAAGGGATAACTGGGTGGGTTACTTCTGGTTGAGCACTATTGTATTGGGGCAATCTAGAGAAAGCATCTGCCATAAACTTCTTCCCCCGCCTCCCGGGAAGGTAGCACAAGAAAAAATTAAAACGGTTGAAGTGTAGCAAACAATGAATTTTCTTGGGTGACAGTTTTTGGGGCGTTTTAGGGGTTCCAGGTTTTTATGATCAGTCCACACCTCAAAAGGGTGTTTTGCCCCTTCGAGAAAATGCCTCCAAGTTAATAGGGCCCATTGCACAGCAAATGCTTCCTTCTCCCATATTGCCCATCTCCTTTCGATTTCAGTTAATTTCCTGGAGGTATAATTTAGAGGCTGAAAATAAAGAAGATAAAGACAATGTGATTAAATATAAATAAGTAATTGAATATCTGGATAGTAATAATAAAAAGAAGGTCTTTAGAGATTATATTGAGATTAACGATAATATAAAGATGATTTCATTGGGACTAAATAGAGGAATGATAAAAGAAAAAAGGTTGGAAAATATTAGGGAAGATAAGATAAAGTAGAAGAGTCCAGGACTTTGATTTATATAATGACTATATTGAGATTAACAATGGTAATACAAATAAGAGAAGAATATGTTATAGATACTAAGAATTGATATATGGATTGAAGTTAAAATATATGAGAAATAGATTACCTATTTCTAGAGATTACATTGGGATCAACAGTGAAAAAAATAAAGATGATTACACTGGGATTAACAGTGAAAAAGATGATTACACTGGGATTAACAGTGAAAAAAATAAAGATGATTACACTGGGATTAACAATGGGTAAAATAGAGGATAGAAAAAGGAAGATAGAAATGAGAGAAGAATATGCTATAGATACCTAGACTTGAAATATGAAGCTAAAATATATGAAAACTATATTATGTTAAAAGAAAATATATCAGTGGATATAATGAATTAATTTTTATTGAGATGCTGGGAGGGTACTATTTGAGAAAATTGATGGCTACAATAATTGGGATATTGTTTCAATACCTATAACAATGGCAATAATTTGAATATCCTCAATAATACATTTATTTAAACAAAAAGATGAACAAAAAGTTGAACAAATTTATGACTGGATCAATGTTCTGTTCCGAAAAGATGTATTGTATGTTTATTTGTGTGGTTTAAAAAATAAAAAAAAAATCCAAAAAAAAAAAAAGTTTGCAAAACCAGTGTGATGACCCAGGACATGGCACAGAGATAACACAAACAGCTGGCAGTTCAAACAGCCCTTTTATTGCTCCAAATCTCCCCAAATGCTCCCACATTACTGACAAGTCTTAAAACATAGTGAGAACAAATCCCCACACAAACCTCAAGTAGCCTCTGGCTGCAATTAGTCCAGCCCAGTGCTGTCTGTACCAGAGCTGCATGGCAATAAATCCCAAATGTATTTGGCAAAACGAGAGCCAAGCAAGGAATTAAGGGAGCAGAAGATCCAGATAATTAGTCCAGAATGCCAACAAGGAATGCAAGGACTCTTGGCAAGTTAAAACATTGGCATGCAACACTTCAAGAACTCAGCATTTGTTCCTGACAAATGTCCCTCCCCTCTCATTCCCCAGGTGTTCCTGGTGAAGCTGGGCGAGGCACTGTCCTTGCACGTGGTCTTCTCTGCCTGCAATGATCCCGCCTTCTCTGCACTATCCTAGCCCTTGCACCATGAGAGGTGCTCCTTGTCTGAGTTCTGTCTCGCCTCCCTGCCTGCAGGCCTTGCTAATTCTG